TTTTGGCTCCTAGGGACCCATACTCAAAGCAATGCCTGAAATTAAAAGACCAAATGGCAGGGAGTGAAGGAATTAAGTAAGTTGCCTCTCTGTTGGCAGAGACCCACACAAGATCATGGCTCCTTGCCAAGTGGCAAAAAGCAATTTGCCATTGATAAAATACCAGACAAATGTATTCACTAAATTAGGTAATTTACTTCTGCTTGGCTTTTATGTTTTCTCAAACTAAGAAAAAGGACATCCAAAGTTATAAATCAAACCTTTGCTCCCTGAATCATCCATGACAGAGTAATGTCATTTTAGCCCCTTTTAGCTGATGTGCTCAGTCCTAACTAAATAACTGTAATGGATATGAAAAAAATTAGAACTCACTCAAGACAGCCAATTTATCCACTGAAAACTGCATTTAAGTAGCATTAAAGATGTAGAGCTGCCCCACAAAAACAAGCTGATTTAACTGATTTTGTATTTCTATTCATAAAGAAGAAATTAAAGTTAGCATATTGTCCTCAGCTCATTTTATTATGTTTGGGTATTGTGGCAAATACAGCACACAAAATGAGTCACAATTCAAGAGCCATACATGGCCACTAGCAGCTAAGGACAAAAGGTCTGATTCTTTATTCACACCCATGCAAACAAGGAATATTTCCACTGAGATCAATGTAGTTAGCCCTCACAAAATGGTAAATGAAATAAGAATTAGTACAAGAGTGATACATCTCTTTTTCTGTATTCTCCACTGGCTGTTTATTATTACAGCTGACTATCACAGTTATAATACATGGTACCATGGACTGACTTTCTTCTGTTTATACATTTTGAAAGAGTAAAAATTTCACAAAAATTGTAGGAAAGTCAGAAAGGCTGAACCATATGACTCAAAAGTTTGTTGCATTAATCCTGTTCATACTTAAATATTTGAATATGGATTAACGAAATATTCAAGTAATACAAACACATTGATGTATTCCAGTGCACAATACTAAACAGGCTAGTGGGAGTCCACAGACTAGTTTAAATAGTAAGATAGGACTCAATCCTGAAAAGAAGGAATGCGAGATATTTTATATCTTTACATGACCTGTCCTATCAATTTCATAACTCTTACTTAACTACAGAGGACCTCAACACACACACAAACTTGTCAATGTTAAAGTTTTTTAAACATCAAGGCCATTCAAACACATGTAGGCACATACTGACTGAGCTGCAGCTTTAGATTATTTTTCAAGCATACATCCCATTTACCTTTAATTTCTCCATCTTTCACTTCAGTGGGAGCTCTGCTTGGGAAAACACCTCTGGGTCAGGCCCTTATATAGATATCTATTTTTGTTTTTGCTTTTTAATCTAATTTGCATCTCTTTAAATAGCCATTCTCAATTTTTATACAAACCCATGAAAAAAATTTAAAAAATGAATAAACTAAGCTAGCACTTTTTTAAATAGTCCTTTTGTTTTATTCTAGTAGCTTGAAGCATACTTTTATGTTTAAGTCATAACCTCTAAAAATGGGGGCCTGAATGTAAATGCTGGCACAGCCTTAATTATAACAGCACTACCGGATGATGCTATAATTTTATGTTACAAAGAATGTTGGAGAACCAGTTTAGTTTAATTAGGTCTGCTAGCAGTTCAGTAATAAAGCATAAAGATTTCCCATTTATCACATCTGACAGCCAATCAAAGATCCTTGCATGTTCTTAAATGAAATGTGACCCATCCAACAGCTCAAAGTAAAACAATTTTTTGACTTTCAAAAAAGCATCCATTTATTAGATGAAGTGTTCTGGGCAGGACAGTCTCTTGCACTCAGCTTCTCTAGAGGGTGAAGCTGATGTAAAAGTTATTTGTAACAGGGACTGAATATTGGGGCAGCCATGGAGACTACATTTCCAATGGCCCTAAATACCCTTCATAAAGAGACTGTAGCTGCTATTTTATGTCTTGAACTTACCATGAAGGTTTGTTAATTTGACCTGCCAGATCCATTTGCAGTGCATCTGTTCAACCCTATATACCACTGCATATCAATTTAGAGATTTTTCAGTTGCTCTTTTATTTTCTATGACTCTGAGTCCTCTACTTTGTTTTATAGAAGACAAGTAAAACTGTGTGTGGAAATTGTTGTACATACACTAGAGTAATAGAAATGGCAACTATTTCCAACAGGGCTACTTACAAGGTTCTGAGTTTGGGCATGTGGTTGAAACTTGCCACTGATAATCGTGTGATGTTGTTGTTGTTGAGAGTGCTGCAACATATAAAAAAGAACAAAGTCAGCTTGCTACAGTTATTAGTAATGCAGATATTGTCCAACAGTTTCTGAAGAAAATCTGATGTTATTAATGTCCATCTGATGTTTGTCATTTAATAGCCTAAAACAACCTGGGACTCCACAAAAACTGCTTAGAAGGAGTTACTACAAATGCTGAGCTCATTTGTGGAAACAAAGCTGGAAATGCC